TCTTCTCGCCTCGCTGTCTTTTTTCAAGTTAACTCCGAATTTGAAGATGTCACTGTGTAGTTGCTCTAGTTCTTCTTGTAACATCCCGCACTTCACTTTCACTTCCGATGCACCGCTTCTAAAGGTTTCTGGTGGTTCCTTACCCGATGTTTAGGATTTCACAGCTTCTGGCTATTTCTCTTTCTATGTGACGGTTGATGTTTTTATTTATTTTCTTTCAGCATAACCAAAGTACTCCTACCAGCAATATTATTGCGACCCCAGTTGTTGCTATTATGCCGCATATTTCACCAACAGAAATTGATTCTATGTATGTCTCGCTGATATAGTTTTTTTCGCCTGCGATCACTCCGGATTGTTCTATAGAAGGTTTATCTGGTTTTGAGTTTGACTTCCCCATTTTGGTATTATTACTTCTTACTTTTAATTATTTATTTTAACTGGCACTATTTTCTCCATCCTTGTACATTCAACCGCTACTATTTCTTACACTATTTATTTCACTGGCACATATCACTAACTACGTTTTATTCTCGGTGGCAGGATCGCCATGTAATGTGGGTACCAACGGGTGAGGTACATTCTTATGATTTAAGTAAAAACAGATATTTCCTGATAAGTATATTGATTCTTCATTCTACAGAAGGTGTCTTGGCACTGGCTATTGATGGTTCTAATTAATTGATCGGTATTTCGGAGTTGCAACCTACTTTATGTTTATAATAACTACATATAATTGCCTAATACATTTGTGTTGTAATGACCTATTATCACTACAGGTTTAAAACTACGCTAGAGGCGCTAATGTTGTCAAAGTTGTTTTCGTCACCGAGACTACCGTTGACATAATGACAGTTGTCATAATAATTAGACATAAAACATAACTTAAATATATCCTTTCCTTATATTAAATATAACCTTTTAAGTTTGTATTGTGTACTCATTATTATTGTTTATTTTTGTTGTGTATGAAAGTGCAAAAGTAGGGATCTCCCCTTAAAAATGCATCGATTTCCCAAAAACGATGAGGTATATCCAGCTTTTTATATTATTTTGAATCGCTATAGCTATATACAATGTATATTATACATACCTGTACCCCGGAACCAAACTGTATTAAGTCCACTTTTTTTAAATCATACTACATGGTCACTAGGGTGGATCGAATTTTCATTTTTTCGAAATTCATTTTCGGCCACTGCGAAAAAGATGCTCCATAGAAATATAATTATAACTGTTTAAATATATTTGAAAAATTAAATTGCTTTATACTGCCCCAAAGACTTGGAAAAAAATATTAAATTGCGAAATTTGCCTAAAATTTAACTGGGTGGTTCAAACTGTTTTTCATGGGATTCTTTTTCGGCCATTGCTTATTACATGCTACATAGAAGCACAATTACAGCCGAATATTTATAGTTGCTAAATTCAATTGCTTCATACTGCCCCAATGACTTGTAAGTTTTGAGCATATATTAAAATTTGCATAAAAGTTTAAAATACATTTTAAGAATGAAATGCAATAAAATGGATTTGAATATTTTATTGTTTCTTTAGAATGTTGTTATTTGACAATACAATAAAGCAAAAGTATAATAAAAAAAAAAGTTTAGAATGTTATAAAAATTTAAAAAAATAGAAAATAAAATTAAAAGTGGGGCCAAAAGATTTTAACATCAGAGGTCGAAAGTCTTTTTTTGAATTAAAAACTAGCATGATTTTGCGACATTTTAACCTTGTTTTAATAAATCCATCTCGTCTTGAAGGACCACAAACAGCAGCAGAAGCTTCCGTAACAATTTTCACACACCTTTCAGTAGCCTGAGTGTGACAAGGAAAGTAAGCAATTCTAGGCATAATGACATCGTCTATCATCTTTGGACGTTGGAGACATTGTAAAATTTTATCACGCCTTAAAAAGTTTGTCAAGGGTGGCTCGGTCATAGTCACCTCATAATTTTCTGCTTCAAAATTAAATTTTGGCAGCACAAAACTGCGAATACTAGATGACAGACCTTGTAATTTTCGAGCCTTTAGAATTCTTCGTAAGGCTAATTTCCTAACTTCCTCATTTTCACCTACTAACATAGCAACCAATATATTTTCAGAAAGCCCAAAAAATCCATTTCTTTGAATCACTGGATCAGTAATTTTTTTTAAGTTGTCTGGCAAATATCTTGTTAATTTTACGATTTGATATAAATGCCTAGCACCGTAAATGCCTAGTGGTTTAGTCTTAATCGTGAACCACATAGGTGCATAAACTTTTAATATAAAACGTACCAACACCAGCAAATTTGCTGTCGGTTCAAGCGATGAAAAGTCTATTTGCCGTAAGCCGTTGTAAGCCATCTTGAATGTGCTAACTTTCCTGGATTTTTAATCGACAGATTATCGGGACAGAGTTGATCTATGCTTAAATCTTTTTTGTTCGTTACATCAGGCAGAACAAAGTCAATAATTTTAAATAGCACGAGAGGAAGTTGCTCACAATTATTTAAAGCTTTGCCTATTGGTCCTGTAAAGCTTCGAGGTCCACTAGTAGTACGTACCATCGAGAAACTCCAACAGATGACGCAATGGAAAATCGTTCGCATGCAGTTGACAAATACACCATTGCAACGGCCTTTTCAACTTCATTTCCAGATATCGTATAGTTCCTCCTTTAATACCTGTAAGTTTATGCCAGTCGATATGCTTAAACTGTAAAAATATTTTTCTAATAATATTCATTTCATTGCCTTTCTTGCTCGAGTCCACCATTACTAAAGTTTTGTCCTTACGCGCATCAAAATACAGTCCAAAATTGCCATTTTCTAAAAGTAATTGGACGTCAGCTAAAGAATTTCTTTTTTTTTCACGAGCACGTATAATCTTGTTTCTATCTACAACGTTGGATATATTGTCTTCAGAAATAAGCCAAACAGTTTGCAATGTGGCTGATACAATTGCTGCTCCAGCTCTGTCGGAAACCCCAAACCTATCTAATGTTTTTGCAACCGCTGAAAGGTCATTGTTTTTGTGAATACCTAGGAGTTCTGTGATATTTCCGGCTCATCTTCGGGAATATTGCATATTGAATGGATAGGCTGGAGTTGAGAGCATAAACTGGTTGATCAAATAGATGCAGTGTGTTTTTCTTTAAACTCTTCGTTTTCTGTTAAGGTTGTTATATAGCCATTTTTCGGTTGGTGCGTTGATCGAGCAAGAAATTCCTTTCTAATACAGGCACCTTTAGAAACTTTTTACAGTAACACCGATCAAAACTTTTACATTTGCAGGATGCTATATCGAAATTTATCTTGATATGCTCTCATTTTTTTAACAACAGCACGGAGGCCTATTGTAGGAATAGAAGCCGATTCGCACTGCTTTATAACTTTTTTTGAGACTTCGAGACAATTGTCACTAAATGCGTTTATATACTGCTTTGGTTTATTTCGAGTAAGTCCATGACCAAATATAGGACATAAATCACTACGTAAAACAAACATATCGTAAAGAAGACGGTGGAACACATAAGGTATAATTAACAATTATAATTGTAAGCCTTTGAAGTGGAGTTTTATACAAAAATACTAGGAACAGGTATTTTTAAACAGGTAAATTATCAATTAATTAAATATTAATTGTGTCAAGTATCAATTTTAGAAAATACTGGAAACAAGAATTTTGGAAAAGGTAAAAACTAATAAGATTTTACAGGTACCGTTTTTGTCAAATTCTTGAATTTGCGAAAAACGATACCTGTGACATCTTATTAGTATTTACCTTATACAAATTCGCATTTCTAGTAAGTGAAAAAAAATTCAAAATTTTCGATTAAAATATTTTATTTTATGATTTTTTCACTGATACGATTGATACTTAAAAATTATATACAAGGATCGTTAGGGTCATATTGACCACAACAATGCACTCCAAAGGTTAACAAAAACTTTTCTCATAATGATTTACTTAATTTTTGTATAAACTCTTAGTTATAAACAACAAAAAAAGAGAAAAACTTTTTTATAAAAATTTAGACCCCTTGGGGCAGTATTTTTTTTTGTTATTTAGAAAGTGTACTTTATGGAGCAACTTTTCCACACTGGCCGATTTTGATATTTCTTTTTCATATACTAAACGATCCTCCCTAATGGTCACACATTGCTCTATATTTTTCCGCTCTTTCCAATGATAAACAGGATTAAATGCTGGGTAACTTAGTTTTTTAATATATAAAAACCTAAGTAAGCCAGTGATTTTAAAAAAGTGGACAATACAGTTTTGCTCTGGGGTACAGATATATAGATTATAAAGATATTACAGTTGTTCTTTTGTGATCATTAAATTACCAGCTAAAATTTGATTTTATAATTAGGTACTATAGCTATGTCACTTAAGTATTGCTTAATTTTTGTTTAGGTGTTTATGATATGGCTGCAATAAATTTGATCGATAATTAGACTTCCAGACTGTGCTTTATTCCAGCATACAATTTTCTTTCCAAGAACATAGCATAGTTTTATTTCAAAACACCGTTTATTTGTATTTTTGTGTCTTGGTTCTAAAAGCCAACAAAATGTGTGTTTTAGAAAATTATAATTATTGTCAAGACACTGGTTTAAAAATTTAAATTTGCGCAAATAAAAAATCACAAAGTCTTCAAATTTGTATTGTCCTTCGTGGTGGCGAGTGGGATAGATATCTCTGCTCTAACTCCTCTTTTAAATCGTTTAAGTAACAACCTAGAATGTTTCCAATTTAAAAATTTGTTTATTATAGACTTTTTTTAGTAAAATATAAAGACATGTTTGAAATTTGCAGAAAATGGTGAAGTTCGATTACTTTTTTATCACACTGCAAGGTATAATTAATTTTATTAAAAAATATGATTAATGTATATTTTTAATATGTGCGTACTTTTATATTTTTAAGTTATTTACTTTGTTACATGTCAAACATTATTAATATTTATTTAAAATAATGTTTAATTTAATTTATTTTGTTTGTTTTAGTCATTCCCAGACAATATCAAAATATTTTTAATGAAAATGAAGAAAAACTACTGTTACCCCAATGGACTATAGCAGCAATCGTTATTGGACTTGCCTCACTTCTTTTTGTCATAATATTTGGCGTTACTGTGGTAAATATTGCAAAATTTATAACAATCCCAACCACGCATAAAAAATAATTATTTTATTCATAAAAGATACTTATAACGTTAACTTATGAGTCAATTTTAATAGCCGTTCAAAATACTTAGTGCAAAATGACTGCAATGTATGAAAATGCCAATCACCTCGCTCACTGTGATTTTATTTCGAATGTGGCATTACTTGCTATAAGAGCGGCAGGTGCATTTTGTTTCGAGTGTGCTTCGGTCCAACAAGGCTACCCGACACTGATGAGGACCAAAAGTCCGAAACAGGCTGTCTGTCGGTGCCTGGTTCGAAGCTCATTCGAAATAAAAGCACAGTGAGCGAGGTGATTGGCATTTTCACACATTGATAGGCACTACCACTCTAGTAGGAAAACCATGCCGTACGGCTAAACCATCTTTTGAGCCAACAGCGAAGTCTATGTTGTTTATTTGCAGAGTGAGATTTCTGCTAAACACATAGTTTGGCGTCCTCTGGACGGTAGATGTCGCTGAGAACTCTCGTTCGCTGTGTTTTCACTGCTGTCTGTGGCATTACTTGCTACCATATGTATATTATATATAAAAAAAAATGATAAGTTAATATTTGTAGATTGTTGAACGGCATAAAAATGCGCAACTTTTTCCGAATTTAACCATCATCATATCACTAAAGATACCCCCCAGATAACATTCGTGAGTTCACCGTGAATGCACGGTGAAAAATATTGCTTCACGCGTGAATTCACGGTTGCTAAAAGATGCGTCCGCCCCTGGAATTCACCGTGAATGCACACGTGAAGATATATCCGCCCATTGAATTCACCGTGAATGCACACGTGAAGATGCGTCCGCCCCTTAAATGCACACATGAATTCACCGTGAATGCACACGTGAAGATGCGTCCGTCCCTTAAATTCACCGTAAATGCATGCGTGTTCTAAATTCGCGCGAAAAAAATGAAATAAGGGTGCATGTTCAGAAAACATATTTTCCCCTATATAGTAAAATAAGTTTTCTGAACAAAAAATGTGCATTCACCATAATTTCAATTTTTTCGCGCGAATTTTAGCATGCATGCGCACTCACTTCGAGCTTCACTTGTGCATTTACGGTGAATTCAAGGGGAGGACGCATCTTCGCGTGCGTATTTACGGTGAATTTCGTGCGTATACTCAATTTTTTTGCATTTAATTTTAAATTGGAACACAAAATAAAACGTGTTATTTTTTAAAATAACAGATTTTGTTATATTTGTAAATAAAGTCAAAGGAAAAATGTTAAATAAAGATGTGATTTATGTCCAATTGGAGAATATTTTTTTAGACAATTATGCCATCCACGCCGACGGTGGTCTAGTGGTTAGTGCTGCTGACTACAAGCCGGAGGTCGTGGGTTTGAATCCCACCAGGGGTATGGCTGTTTATTCGTGTTTGTCCTATTATGTATTAGTCCTTCGAAGGGGACTTTAAACCCGCGGTCCGTTCCTACCCCTAACCGGCACAAGCCATTCAGTTGGCTTATGGGACTTCTTAAGAAGTATAAACTTTGTATAATTAAACTTGAGGTACAATAGTATACTGAAATAAAACACAAAGTGTTATGTTGTAAAGTTTATTCCGAATCAACCTCAGAGGTTTCAATGTCCTCTTTAACCTTAAAAAAAATATGAATTATAACATCAATAATACTAATTAATGCATACACATGAGTATAATACTGTATAATATTTTATTATAATATATATTATCTATCACATATATGAAATTACATCTACAGATAAGTATACTTACTGATTCATCACTGGACACATCATCAAATGAGTCAAATAACTCATCATTTTTTCCCCTTATTTTAATTTCTTTTTGGTCCTTAAAAAATATATAAATTATAACATTATTAATGGATTACCTAAAGCATTTATTTACAAGACTAATTTTATAAAATTTAATAAATATTATTTAAAAAACGCTTAGAACAAAAAAAATATATTTGTTTTTGTGTATAAAGAAAAGTCTTGCTATAGCTAATAAAAATATTCTGTATTAATTAATTAATTCATTTATTTTATTGATTAAAAAATTGTAAAATATTTGTCGACTGTATATTTACTAATAAAAATATTAAAATGGATGTCATATTTTGAATTCAAATAAAAACAAATCATTCAAACCAATTCAGCCGAGCGCGGCTTCGACTCATGAGGCGCGGAGCCTTGCAGTAAAAAATTAATAATGTTTAAAGAAATGCCGGGCAGTGAAATTTTTTTTTCAGGATATGAAACCTTTATATCCAGTACATGTAACCATGAAAAAAACTTGATTATTTGATAGAGACTTTATCAAAAATTTGAATTGTATATTTCAATGAACAAAAAAAGAATAAAAAAATTTAAAAAAAAGTCCAGAAAATTTCACTACGAAACTTTTAACAGTTTTTTCACAATTAATTGTTTAATTAAAAGTGAGAAAAATCTTTGTTACAAAAAAACTGTTAAAATTAAAATAAAACAAAATATATTTTAAGGAAATATTGTTACTAATGACTACTAACGATTGATGTAGGTATTAACATTTAAATTCTATTACCAAGTGGAAAATGGGGGGTCCACTTGACGTGATCTGACTCAAAAACAAAAACAATGAATAAAAACTTTATAAAAAAATATAACCACAATTAAGCATTATAACCATGGTTATTCATTGTTTTTGTTCTTTTTGCAATAATTGTAACAATTATTATCAGTGCACTGATCCAATATAGTATATATAGAATAAAATTCGTATCTTAAATTTGATCATGCTAAAATATAAAAATGTCAAACTTACCTTTGGAATTCCTGGCTAGCAACTTAAGTATTTATTGAACTGAATACCTATATATTATAAAACTGAAAAACTGAACCAAGATAGATACACCTTGAAACTGAACGTTTATCTCTGAACCATAGAAAAAGGATATGAACTGAACGTTTTACCGGTATACAGGATATCTAGCTAGATGTTTACCATATATGGTATTCTATAGAAAACCTCGTGGCTCTTAGCTGCGTACGCACACTAACGCTGCAGTGTTGCCGGATTGCAGCCGGATGATTTTCGTGAAAGTTCCCGACCAAAAATTACAAAATACTAGAAATTACCCACACGAGTAAACATTTCTAGTACATTTGCTCAATTTGGAAAAGTGAATTAAATTTTGAATAAATTAAGAGAAAAATAAAAGGATATAATAAAAGAATTATGTTTAGTTAGTAGTTATACAATATTATTTACTGAAAATTTCTTTGAAAAGTAAAATTTATAAAATACCTGCTTCAATATTTTACTTGCAAGCATGATGAAATACGCGATTTTCGGGTCAAATACCTGCAAGCGGCAACCCTGCATTTATTTGAAATGTGACGGCCATAGGCGCATGCGCACGAGTGCCCGCGTATTTGGTTTTGCAATTATTATATATAATTATTATTACCTATAGGTATATTAAATATTAATAACTGATATTAATTAAAAAATGTACTTTTTTATTTTCCGTTTAATATTTAATAAAAATCTTTAATTAATATTCCTTTAATGTTATGTTTTTTTTTTCTTATTTCGAATTCGGTCTTCAAATTTATTTTGATAGGGTAGGTATACCTTCCCTATCAAACAGAGGTATAGCTAACCTATCAAAATAAATTTGAAGAGCTTTAATTAAACGTGCTAACAGATATGTATAAAATCTTGGAGATTCACGGCGTGCGTCCGGTGTGAATTAAATGTGCATAAGAAATGTTAGGGGGCATCCATTAATTACGTGAGGTGTTTAGGGGGGGAGGGGGTCGAGCCAAACCCCACCCAATCTCACGTGGGGGAAGGGTGGTCTCGGCAAATATCACGTAATTTTTGAAAAAAATTAAACAGTGTAAAATGGCGAGAAAACTGGGTTAAATTAAGTAAACAATTATGACAATTGTTTTTTTTTAATAAATCTAATGGAATCAATTACAGATTAACTTATTTACATTAAAACAATGCATTCTCCCAAGGGGAGGGGGGAGTCGAAAAATCGCCAAAATTGCCTCACGTAATTAATGGATTACCACTTATCTGTGAACTTACGGTGAATTCACGATGCACTTAATTTTAAAGATTCATGGCGTGCGCCCGGTGTGAATTTAATGTGCATTACAAATGTTATCTGTGAACTCACGGTGAATTCACGATGCATTCAATTTTGAAGATTCACGGCGTGCGCCCGGTAGGAGTTTAATGTGCATTCAGGAATGTAATTTTTAAACTCACAGTGGATTCTCAATGCATTCATTTTTAAAGATTCAGGGCGTGCGCCCGGAATGAATTATATGTGCATTAAGAATATTATCTGGGAACTCACAGTGAATTCACGATGAATTCATTTTTAAAGATTCACGACGTGCGCCCTATGTGAATTAAATGTGCATTACAAATGTTATCTGTGAACTCACGGTGAATTCACGATGCATTCAATTTTGAAGATTCACGGCGTGCGCCCGGTAGGAGTTTAATGTGCATTCAGGAATGTAATTTGGAAACTCACAGTGGATTCACAATGCATTCATTTTTAAAGATTCAGGGCGTGCGCCCGGAATGAATTATATGTGCATTAAGAATATTATCTGGGAACTCACAGTGAATTCACGATGAATTCATTTTTAAAGATTCACGACGTGCGCCCTATGTGAATTAAATGTGCATTACAAATGTTATCTGTGAACTCACGGTGAATTCACGATGCATTCAATTTAGAAGATTCACGGCGTGCGCCCGGTGTGAGTTTAATGTGCATTCACGAATGTTATCTGGGCCATGCTTATGATTATTATAATTATTACTATTATTATTATTATTATTACCAGGGGCTTAGCCTCGGGGGGCTTTGGGGATCAACCCAATTGATTTTGACGCTTGGTTCCTTTTCGATAAGCGTTATCTGTATTTTTATATAGTAGTAGATTTGTTTGCGTATCACTTTCTAACCAGTTTGGAGCAAATTCAAAAAAGCATTAAAATTTTTTGAACTGCAGTTTGTTCGAAAGTGATCAGCGAACAAATCTTTTACTATATAAAAATACATCATAAAAATATCATAAAAATACATAAATATAACACTATTGTGATATATTATTAACAATACATTAAAATCATTATGACACTATATTATTATTTGTTATTAATATTACAGTTATATTATTATGACCTATATGACCTATTATAATAACCGTACAAAAGCGTTTGACATTTTGACATCATACAAGAAAGTCAAATTTAAAGCAAACATTTCTGTGAAAATTAGAAGATGATAATAAATCTAATATAGATGGAAACATGAAATATGGGTATTATTGTATGGATATAGATATTAATTAAGATAATTTAGAAGTTGGAGTGAAAATTAACATAAAATATATAAAAACGTTATCCTGTTATTGGGACCTGCGCTTGTTGGATATAAATAAATAAATAAACAAATAAATAAATAAATAAATAAATACAAATGATAATTAATTTGATAATAATTCATGTTATTTTGACCAAAATTTTTACTTGGGTTGTTGTCGAAGCACAAGATGCATTCTTAAAATTTTGTTAAACTGACAGATATATAGCTAACCTCAAATATTCGTATTTAAGGTGGGACTTTTGGGTCCAGACTCCACACTGTAGAGTATATTTAAATACGTGGGCAGGGCCGGCGGAAGACCATGGTAGTATAGGTACTACTACCCACTGGAAAAATTCCTGAGTAGGTATATACCCACTCGGAAAATAAATGTTACATGAACATTGTTCCGGAATTTATGCGATTTCTACAATTAATAATTATAATTCCAGGATCTTCGTGTTCCAACAAAAGAAGTTTTTCAGTTTTGCGTCATTTAAAAAATTATTTAAGATCAACAATGGCACAAAATCGACTAAATCACGTAGCAATCTTGCATTATTTCTCTGATTTAGCAGATAAACTCAATATGGATACTCTAATAAATGAGTTTATTGTTCGCAATAAAAAAGAACGGCTGTTTTTGCTATTTTAGATAAAAATTGTTAATCTACAAAAATGCATTGTTATTTATGACTTTCTATTGTTACATTTTAAAGCTCCTTATTTTTCAATATATTTTTATAATATTAATTTTTCAAAATTTTAAATGCTCGAAATTAAAGCTGAGTGAGGGACCCCCTTTCTCCGCCTAACTACCCACTCGGGCTAAATGTTTTCTGCCGGCCCTGTATGTGGGGATTTTAGAACTTTTTTAATTTTTTGTTTTTTATAAATCAAATTAATTTTATTAAATAATTTTTAGTAAAGCATAATATGCATATACAGGGCGTCAAAAAATAGTGTGCAATAATCTACGCAATATCTGTGCAATAATCTACGGTTTTAAGGAGTACAAATCATAAGCAAATTTTATATGAACATAGGTCGGCAAATGGCCTCTAGGGAACCTACACCCTCTTAAAAGGGGGCCCCGAAAGATAACACTAGGCAACAAATTTTACCTTAAAAAAAAGGTCCTGGTTAAAAATAGAATTTTTCGATTGTTTATGACTGAAATAGATCCAAAATGTTTTTAAAAAAAATTTCTAAAGTCGGAAATAAAAAATAGGAGCACAGTATTTTGGTACCATTTATTGCATAGATTTGAAAATTTTAGGATGACGTTACTTTTAACTTATATTTCAGCATTCCATGAACAACATATCTGTACATATTGTAAAAATTTAAGGCATGTTTTTTTATGTTTACTGTTTTTTATCGTTCGAATTATTTTGTTTACTTATTTTTATCGTTATTATTTAACAATTTTTCTTTGTATCATGGTGCTGCCCGTATCGTCTAAACGAGACTTTGGAAAATTTTTTGGTCGCGGGATTTGCGTCGAGCAGGTCAAAATCTAATAAATATTTGATAAATTTTAGATCATAAATAGAGAAAAAAATTATAAAAAGCAACTTGCCCCGTCTTTAAGTCATGGCATGCTTAACCATATAGATAAAAACAGCTTGGGAAGACTAGAAAACTATGGAGCACAACAACATGCTGTATATGATTTGGAATGGATAACGGAAAGAGATGTTCTAAAAAAGGTAGGTATTATGTCTATATACGATTTAATTACTGCACCGCTGAACAGCCATGTTAAATATTTTTTATTAGCTAGGCTTCAAAATATTAACTGGAAATTTACAATAAGCAACTGGAAATTTCCAATTAATAATTGCTGGAAATTTCCCATTAATAACTCGAAATAACTGCTTATTACTGATTTGAACATGATGGTTGGTCAAAAACGATCTATAAAGGGAACTTCGCCTACCTTTTGACCTGGGGTTTGGCTGCATACCAGGGGAAGATATTGCTGGAAAAGATTACGTGAGGAATTACCGTAGGAAAATGAGCGACATTTACAGCCAAGTTCTTTTTAACATCCAAAGTGCCAGCGATTGAATGAAAGATGCATACTACATCAAGGCGGAGAATGGAGGATTTAAACGTGAAGACCTAGTTTGGTTATACAAACTTTAGCGTCGTTGTGGTGATTCGCCTAAGACTTTTTAGCAAGGACCATACAAAGTGATGGATCGCATAAATAACATCATCTGAGGAAACACCCAAGAGGGAAGCCAAAAGTGATCCATTTCAACCGATTGGCTCCTTACACAGGAAACAATAATGACCAAATAGACGATGCTATAGTAAGAAAAGTTGATGCGCCAGAAGACGAGCTGCATTTTAAAGACGTAATGTCTCTATATTCGAGCGGTAATAAAAATCGGTATGTTGTAAATCAAAAAGAATAACAAGATCTGTTCAAGGTTTCAGCCGATTATTCCTTGGCCCACTGTACTGGGGAATAGCCGTCGCCTTAAAACAAGTCGTCGTGAGAGGTGCTTGAAATAGTGAATAACAAGGAAACAACAGACAACAGAAGCATCCTTCTCTTTTATCTGATATCCGCTCTCTCATTAGAAGCCAAACTACCATTACGTATTGAATGCCTCAAAAAAATTAAGAGATACCCTTTTCTTAAGGACATTAATTAAAGTATGCTGGCATTTATTTACAGATTTGGTAGCATATACATTTTTGTTTTCTGAGATGAAGACCGTAGACTGCTACTTCTATAGGACGTCACAATGGATCCCTATGTAAATTTTGCCATGAAGCAGAGGACCATGTCATACTTTTTGGACTTTTCGGGGGCAATAAAGCGAGTACCCACTCTTAAGTAATGAGTCATCGCTGGTTTACCGCTTTATTAATTAGGATTTACGAACGATCGGTATCGAACGGCGTATAACGTTTTCACTTATCAATTGAAAATTAAATTAATTGGAAACTTCCAGTTATTAATTGGAAATTTACAGATTTCATTTAAAAATATTAATAGAAACCTTCTTAATAAAAATTATTTAACATGGCCCTTTAGCGCTTTCGTACGTATTACTTACTTTAAGTAAAAATTTATTATTTATTGCTTTTTCCTAATTTTTTTTTTATTTTTTAAATCAACCATAAAAAATTTTCCAAGCAAGTTGAGTGCCAGTAGTGATTTCTTTGCAAATTGATAAAAAGCATTTCGAATGGTTTGCATTGTTATTCATAAACAATTTGTTTAAAGCAAATACTACCTACCTAAGTATATTTTATTTTTCAATAAATATAATATTTCTTTAAGATTCACATCATTTTTAGGTTTGGTTCAATTGACATTTTACCTTAATTTTTACGTAGGTTTGTAATATTTTAAATTTTGAACTTGTATGTATATGAAAACTTTTTATATATAGGTACTTATAAATGTTATTATTATGAAAATTATTATACGATTAAATTTTTTTTTTTTATTTTATATTCGTTAATAGACCAAATTTTAAATAAATAAATAAATATTACAAAAACCATTACTAACCTTAAGATTTACTTTTTCACTAAACCAGTTATACATATATGTATATTTTTATATTTATAAATATAAATATGTTTTTAATTTAAGGAACCAGGACCGAAAAATAATTTTGATAGTTGGAAATCCGATTGGAATGGTCATTATTTTAATGCTTATTATGGGAAGAACTCTCAAATGTATGATGAAAGAAATCCGCATTATCCAAATAGTCAATTTTAAATTTAAATGTAGGCATCAAGAGGTTAATGTTTTGCTATTTTTTTTTTCATTATAATAAAAATAATGAGCAAGGAAGAAATAAGTCAAGTTTTGCATTATTTATAAATATTTCGATAAAAATAGCAATTACTTTATTCTTTTTATGTTTATTTTTTAGATATTTTCAAGAATTACTTATGATTAAGGCAATTTTAATTTATTTAATAATCTATAATAATAGGTATATTTAGGGCCAAACAAGAAATTTATAATAATGAAGGAACTTATAAACAGACTGAAACGTTTTGTAGGCAGTAAATAAATTTTATTAAAAATAATGTCTTTTATAAATTAATGATAAAATTAAAATTGTTTCATGTGTTTATAAATTTGCATAAAATTGAATTATCATTGTAATTAAATAAAATTGTAAATAGTAGGAATAAAACATAAATTTTAAAGATTGTTTTGTTTAACCTTTTAATTTTTAATTATTACTAAATTAATAGACTGCTTGCTATTGAAAATATTTTTTGTTCCTTTACAGTGTAAGTACACTATGCTATACTTCTTAATAAGAAGTTCTTATACATAGTATAGTATATTATATGCTATGATAATGTAGAATTTCATCTTTTTTGTCCAATTGTTCTGCAATATTTTTTACACTTCCAAACAAAGAAAACTGCAAACGTCCGTAGGTCCGATTCAACTATACCCCAAAGAGAGTAACCATTATTGCTCTGAATTTAATCACGTGGTCACAATACGCCAATGCAAAAGCTTGTCATGGTTTTCGACCTTGGCGCAAACCTGGGAGATCCAACGATTATACACTAGATGACAGCGGGTAACGATCAAGTGATAGTCAAAGAAAAGATACGATAGTGCCAAGCGGGAAATTAAATTTGCTTGGAAACTATAGTAACTTATGACAAGAAAGGTAAAATTAAAAAATATTTGATATTATTGTAGGTAATCATATTTTATTTCGGTGTTATGGGGGATTATGCAAACCTGCAAACCTTATGTAAAACCGCCACTGATATCCAGGAATGTCTTTCTAAATCTAAAGATTGGTTAGCCCTTTGGGTTATCATGGATAGCGGATTGCCTATTTGGTAGGCAAATTGGTTTAAATGTAGAGGTATTTTGTGCAGTACCTTAGTTTTTTTCAGTTTTCATTATTAACCAAAATAAATCCTACTTAATTTAATTAGGATCCTAAGGCTATTTCTCAAATCCTTGTTTGCACCAACGTGGGTTAGCATTTTAATCCTGATTAAATTAGCTAATTCAGAAAACTTTGTTGCACCAACTAAACCATGGTTAAGTGGTTGGTTAAATAACCGGTGAAAGAGTTGTATTTAATATGGATCCTATTAATCGTAAGGTATAATTTTTTACTTGCATGCCTCTTGGCAAAATCTAACAATTTAGTCAATGATGGATGATTAAGATATGAATTCCGTAGTTTTCTTAAATTAAAAATGGTTATCAAAATTTTGTTGCAATAAAGAGTTTTAGACAAATATTTTTTAACTTTTTTTTTCAATTCGAATTTTTTACTCGTGCATCAAAATAATAATTATTTTGATGCACGAGTGTAATTTGGGTGAAAAATTTGTTAAATAAACTAATAAAATCAAAGGTATTTTTGGTACACTATTTTTAACATATTCTTTAATTGATGTGTTCTTTAAATATCCAGGAATATCTTTTTAAATCTAAAGATTGCTCAGCCCTTTGGTTTAACCGTAAATAAAGATATTATTATTATTATTATTATTATTATCTCGGATTCGCAGAATTTGCCTATATGGTAGGAAAACTGGTTTCAATGTAGATGTCTTTTGTGCATTACCTCAGTTTTTCTTCTGTTCTTATCATCCACCACTGGTGAATGATAAGAACAGAAGAAAAACTAAGGTAATGCACAAAAGAACTCTACATTGAAACCAGTTTTCCTGAATCACCAGAAGAAATCGTACCCAATTTGATTAGAATCTTTAAGCTATTTCTTGAAGAGATGTATTTGATATGGATGCTATTAATCGAAAGGTATAATTTTTTACTAAAAGTATTATTTCCTTCTTCTATGCCTCTTGGCAAAATCTAACAATTTAGCCAATGATGGATAATAAGCCTTTTGTAGTTATCCTAAATTAAAAATGGTTACTAAAATTTTGTTGCTATAAAAGGTTTTGGGCAATATTTTTGCCCATTGTTTTTTAATTTTAATTTGTAATTGTATTTGCATAAGTGCATCAAAATTATATGATTATTTTGATGCACGAGTAATTTAGGTAGAAAATTATTCGAATAAGCTAATTAAATCAAAGGTACACTATTTAAAAAAAAAATATTTTTTTTATTTATTCGTTAATTAATACAAACATTTTAGTCCTATGTTTAATTCGCCTACATGATTTCCATTTGTGTGCTGATTTACAAGTTATAATAATATATAACACATATACACGATCTTCTTAAATAAAATTTAAAGAATAATAACAATTATAGTCGGGAAGGAAAAAGGGGGAAAAATTAGACAACGCAGACAATACAATGTACAATTTTTTAATTTTGTTTCTTTGCCAAATTAATGTAATTATAACATTCATTATCCATGGCTTTAATTTAGTTTATTTATTGTTTTTGATTTTAAGGGCACTAGGCGTTAATGTGATGTTTATTAAACATTGTTTAAGTTTAGATTATAAAAATTATAAAAATTCTGAATCATGAGTTTGGAAAGTGTCTGACCAATCTTCATCCCTAAGTTTGTAATTGAGTGATTGGTGGTCATTTTTTTTTAATAGGTATTAATAAAAATAATAAGAATAATATTTATTGCATTTTAGATTTTTACAATTACCTTTCCAGGTTTAAAAATTATAATTTTACAATAAATATGCTAACCTGCACAGTAAATGTTAAGATATTTACAAATTTATGTTGATAACTTCTCAAAAAATCGCGTCGCGACGTGGAGATTTTTTGAGAAGTTATCAACATAAATTTGTAAATATCTTAACATTTACTGTGCAGGTTAGCATATTTACGCGTCGTTTAGGTTATTTTTATAAAGTTGATAATAGTTGTCCAGATCTACCAAACAGTTTTTGATATCCGAGCTAAATGGGCTATAACCTGCAGTTAGACCAAAATTTAAGTAATTGAGATTAAAAGTTGTTCTTATAGTACATTATCTTACAGGCGGAGAAAGCGCTTATTTAAAGCCGAGCTCACCGTTCGCTGCCGAGGCCTTAGCCGAGGCTGCAGATATGGAGCATTTAATAATTCGTTTGCGACATTTTCTCAGGTTTGACGTTTGCCATATGTTATGCCATAGGTTATGTACATGAATTTAAGTATTCTAAAGTGACCTGTAAGTTTACATTTTCTTTGCTCATTTCAAGCTAAGAGCGATAGATGGAACCACTTTTATTTTGTAATTTTAATGTACTTTTATTATTGTACCGCGGTGTATAATAATTTGACTTTTGAACTGCGTACAAATATAAAGACTTTCTATATAGGCTTATGAGTGTTATAATATGAAAATATGTATACGCTTAAAACAAAAATAATTTATCTTATTAATACGTTCTACCTTTGAATTTATATTATATATGTTTAATATAATTAACTATTCCCTTTGATTATATTTCGAGCTATTATACAACAAGTTAAATTTTTTTAAATTATAATCTTTGCCATGTTTCTGGTAAAATTATTGTATCTATATTTAAACAATTAAAAATAGTTGTTAATTCTTTAAAATTCTCATTTATTGATCTTATGTTAAAATGTATAATATTATAAAAAGTATTGGTTATAATAATTTCTGCCGCTTCTCGAATGTCTTATAATTTTTGCATTAGTAGATAAGCAAAGCCTATTCTGGCTCACTAATTCAGTTCGGCCGCATGGTGGTCCCACTTGCCGCTTTTACACTCGTGACCATGTATGGATGGGCGGGGAATTCAAAAGGGCCGCCACCGCCAACTAATTGCAGAAATAATGATGGGCGGGGCACGTTAAATTCATAATGGCCGCCAACCAATTGTAAAAGTAATACTGGGAAATGCAAAATTATGACTCGTGATGACGCCACTTTCCCGGTTGATCTCAAGTCTAGATATTGCATAATATATCAAAATTTAAATTTATTCTGGCGCCACACTGACGGTGTTTTTCTCACATGTTAAGACGCACTTCCCTAGAGCCCCATTGGTGGCCGTAATCTTGCAAGATATTTCGCATTTTTTCGGCATGTGACGCCACCTGCTGGAATTATACGTATACTACAGGAGATGTAATTGCGGGGTTCGGAAACGTTCAGAATTGATCAAAAATGACAGGTGTCAAAAATGACACGTGTCAAAAATGACAGGTGTCAAAAATGACAGGTGTCAAAAATGACAGGTGTCAAAAATGACAGGTGTCAAAAATGACAGGTGTCAAAAATGACAGGTGTCGACGTGCCCTTGAACTGACATTTGTTGTCAGGACTTTATGGGAGAGTTAAGATCTCTGCGATATTCCTATACCTACAAGAGCAAGTTGGCGGGAGGTTTTTGACATACGAAAAAAGATCTGACAAAACATAATCTGGTACATGGTATTTAATAGTTAGATAAAAGTTATATATCATAATAAAGCAAGTATACAGAAACCAGCATCTTATTTATATAAAAGAACCCAACATAACATGGTGGCAGCGGTGTTGCGTGTAAGAAATAGCAACCTAATATAGTCAACTGGCGAAGTGTGTTTCAAACCCCAAATATTACTAAAGATTTCTCAATCTACGGCGCGCCGCGGCGCAAAAATGGCTCCAACAGGAACTACGGAAAATACGTCGACAATCTCGATGGACGTGACTCAATGTCTCAAGCTATTTCTGTTCCGGTGTCTCCACCGCAGAAATTTGATTTTTCGATGACCCAAGCGTGACCTTAGTGGCGAAAACGCTTTGAGCGATTCATGTCAGTATCAGGAAAAAACTTACAATCAGACCACGAGAAGGTAAATATATTGATGTTTATCATTGGCGAGGAAGCCGAAGAAGTGATGTTACAGTTTGTGCCTGTTCCCGAAACCTATACAGCCACAGTTCAAGCTTTCGAAAACTACTTTATTCTCCGAAGAAATTTAATTTTCGAACGTTACAAATTTAAAAGTCGTGCCCAGCCACCAGGTGAGCCAGTAAAATTATTTATAACTTGTCTGCATTCCCTGGCAGAGCATTGCCAATATGGCTCTTTAAAGGACGAATTAATACGTGATCGTATTGTTGTGGGCATGTTAGATCGCAAAATCAGAAAAAAATTGCAATTACAAGCTAATCTAACCCTTGCTGATTGCATTATAATCGTAAAACAAGCTTAACTTCAAGAAAAAAAGCCAGGAGCTACGAGGAGGATCAGTTGCGATAGTC